AGCAGTTTTAACGTGGGAAAACCTTCTCCAATGAAGAAGTAAAAAACCCATGGGACCTAGTCCATATCAAAAATTCACTATGAAAATATTGGTTACAAAAAATCAAAATACACCAATGTGGTGGTTAACTCAACCTCTCCAACAATGGTGATAATCAAACTACCCTAGAGATGTTTCACTCAAACTCTCTCTAGAGATCTCTCAAATGCAAAGCATAAAGCTTTGCTCAAACAATCAAATAATCATCTCTCAAATTTTCTCTCTCATTCTCTTAACCTAGCCTCCACCCACAACTAATGAATATATAGAGGAGGTGAGATCTAGGGTTTAGGGTTTTTAGGAAACCCCTAAATGGACTTGAGCTTAGCATTGAAGGAGGAAGCCCAACAACTTTCATATCCTTAATAGTCACTTTCTCTTCCTTTTGTTTTAGGGTAAATTTGGTGTATAGGATAGGATAAGGCCTGATAGTATAAGATCTGATTAAATTTTAGTACTATCTAGTGTTTAGCATAATATTGTATAAGATAATACCATCCAGTGTTTGATAATGCACTATATAATACTAGATAGGATAAAAATAAATATTTTTGACAAATATATCCTTTAATAAAAATTTTATATAATTCTTTTAAATATATCATATTTATCAATTAATATGTCCAAAAAATATATTAATTTTTGTAAAAAAAAAAAATCTTTAATATTTAAAAAAAAATTATGATTACTTTTACATGAGAAAAAAGAATATTTTATTTTTTATTATTAAAAAAGAGGTCCTGTCAAGTATTTTAGCGAGCACATTATAGGCGGTGCTGATCTCATCGCACTTGGAATAACACTCGATGAGATGGTTTGGAGAAAGGGGTATGAGAATATGCATGAACAACCTTAGTGGCTAATTTAGCTTTATTGCAGATGCACCACTGCACTAGATTTTTCAAATTCGACTTGCGTTCCATCGAAATACTTTCCAAATATCAGGGTTTAGTTTTTAAGTTTTTTTACAAATTAGAGAGAGACTAAAAAAACAGGAGACAACTGGGGGAAGAAGAAAAAGGGAGGGGGAGAGGGGTTTACAGTGGGAAGGAGAAGAAAAGGGTTACAACGAGGAACAAAAAGAGAAGGGATTAGATTAATACATTAATACCTTATTAAGGTTTATCTCATCCCCTAGACCCGATAAGTTTATACATCATTTTAATGTATTAAAGAGCTCCTGATGTATAAGTTTATATTATAAAATGGTCACATCAAATAATTATTGAAAATGTCATAATGTATAATATAAATTTATACTGTCAGATCTTATGCATTACACTAAACATATCCCTTAATTACATTATCTCTTACATTGAAGACATCTATATATACCTTAAAATTATCACTTATTGCTATTTTAACGTATGGATGATAGGTTCTGAAAGAAGATGCAATGTATAATGTGAAAATATCTAGTTGTGTTTCTACTTAAGTCCTTTTCAGCCTCTCTTCGTGCACTGCATTTTTTTTAATGTTAACATTATTATGACTATTCTTCTAAAGACCCTTCCAATTCCGGATTCAGATTTCCTTGACACTTAAGCCACTCTTTGTGAGTCATGCACGTACTTTAATAAATTAACTATAATTTAAATTTTTAAGGGATTAAATTAATGAATTTTTTTTAAAAATAAATATAATGACTACCCTAATTATATGTTTATATAGAATAAAATTAAAAACTCTTTTGTGTTATTTGTTTATATTATTGACTCAAAGTTCTGACAATCAGACTTCGCTCTCTTGTTTGTTTGTTTTTTTTGGAGATATATACATTGATTTTGCAATTCCGATCAGGGTTTGGTAAAGGTTTAAAATCTCCCCAAAATGTTTTTTCAAAGATCAAATTTTTGATCTTAGATGAAATGATGATAGATCAGTTGGTGAACTCAACATGTGGGGTGAGAGTATCTGTTCGATCCTCTCCAATACCGTCTTTAGAAGGGATTTAAAACTTTAATCTCGAGATCCATCCCGAATCAAAATAGTCACAAAGATGAACCAATTGAAATATTTTTTTATTTAAGAAAAAAAAGCCTTTTGACCTTGGGTTTCACTTTATCATTTTAGTTTCCTCGACAATCAATACAGTACGCAAAGGTGGATCAAAGTGTAGGAGAAGAGGGGCAAGTGCCCACCCTTAAAATATGATGCAAAAATATAAAAATATTTTTCTCTTAAAATTCAAATTTTCCCAATTTAATTTTGGGGTAGATATTATAACAATCAACTAGGGTTATTACCAATATTACTACCAATCAATTTTACTGTTAGATCGATTAGGTTGATCCAACGGTTATATTTATTTCCATCTTTGTATGATTATGATTCTCCATATTTAATACTTTATATTTATTTTCACCTTGGTATGGTTATTATTTTCCATATTTAATGTTTTTACATTAAATATGGGGATTATAACCATATAAGATGGAAATAAATATAATCATTGGATCAACATAATCGATCTAACAGTGAAATTAATTGGTAGTAACCTTAGTTGATTGTTACGATATCTATCCCTTTAATTTTCCTCTTTCTATTTTATTTACTTGTAAGTTTTTTTTTTCTCTTCCACCTTCATTATTCAAACCTAACATCAGAGAGCTCTATTCTAGACCTATCGTTTGTATCTACATACTGATTTATCTTCTCTCAAACCTCAATCTCCGTTATTAGAAATTGAAACATTTGCTTCTTCCTCCATCATCGGTCTAGTTGAGTCACAATCTGTCCAGATCTAGATCTAAATCAGACCAGCCAGCCGGCATCTGCTCGCAAGTCGCATTTCAGACCAGACCCAGATCTATATGTACTTAAATTTATTGAGTGTCCATCCTTCATTAATTTCCTGGATCCGCCACAGTAGGTGTTGCGTTTTTGGGAATATAATTCCCAAACCCAGAAAACCGAAAAATTCATATCAGAGGACATCAAGATTTTACTTGGCTCGGAACTTGGATTTTAAACCAAGATTTCTACATCCAAGATACTTAAGGAATATTTAAAAAAAAATCAAATTTAAACATACTATAAGTATCATATTTTTAAGTTAATTAGATGCTTTTCTTAATTCTCACTCCTCAAAACTAAGCAAGTTGATCATAACCCTGCTGCTAATATTGTTTTAATAGCAGCCTTCTTTGCCAAATAAAATTTAATAATCATCCCTGTGAGACTCTGACAAAATAAAAACACATGGATGTGATTTAACTGGTTAACATGAGAATATTTCAAGAACTTTTATTTCAAAATAGTTCCTGTACATTGTCATATTCAATTTATGACTTTAGTATATAAGTTGATTTTATTTTTATTTTATTTTGGATGTTGTGAGTAATGTCACTATCTGGCAAAAACTTTATAAATTTCATATTGTCAAAACCAAAGTCCGTGATGATGCATACCTAATATAATTAATTTCTAAGCTACCAATGCTGAATCATGGTTCTGTTGACTGTGGAACGTTGCCTAATTATTGAACAATAATAAACATTTTGATTGCAAGTGGAGAAAGCAAAACAAACAAGAAGAGCAACTAGGAAAATATATAATTTGAGATATATACGCTTTAAGATTGGTCAATTGTCAATTTTCATGTCTTTTCTTTCTTTCTTGGACTGCGCCATGTACATAAGTAAATATGATGAGTTTTTTTTTTTTTTTTTTTTAAAGAAAAAAACGATTTCCTAAATGTGAAACTCATTTTTATTTGAGGTCTTTCGAGAGTCAATTTTTATTCTGGACGGATCCAGAATTAAGGCTTAAACCTCTTTCTAAAATTAATACTGGAAATGATCTAACACATACTTTCACCGCTATGATGCCATCTGCTCTTATGCACCAACTGAGTTACTTTTATTTGATCATTTATATTTTTCATTAATATCAAAGACCTTACGCATTAGAAAAAATAATCCACTTAATTACATTTATTCTATCAATTTCTTTATAATTAATGATATAATTTACATTTATTCTTCAGCATACTATACTTAATTTCCCTTTTAAGTCTAGTTATAAAATGTTTTGAATTCGAGGTCCGGAATAAAAAAATAATGTTGGAGAGTCACAGTCGAAATGGGTCTAATAATTTTCAAATCGTATTGGAATTGAAAAAATATTTATTTTTCGATATTATCCTATTTTGTTCATGTGGGGCAGACAATTGACTCTATTTTTTTTTTAATTTTTGGATTGGAATTGTACATGTTATCTATCCAATATTTTTTTGGAATTATTAAGAAACATTGAACATTAAATATTTAATATTATTTCTTACTTTATTAATGAAGTAGATTAAGAAAAAATATTTAAATTTAAAACTAAAAAAATTAAATTATTAAAAATATTTATATAAAATATAATTATAGAAAAATGAAATTATATTTAATTAATAAATATATTTTTTATAAAAAAAATAGTTACTCTGTAAGAGTAAATAAGTATAACTATTCATTAAGTAATGATTTCTTCGTTGATATTTTTATAATTTTTCTATATATTTATAGGTTTATTTATTAATATTAGTCATTTAGTAGTAAAAAGTAATAATTATTTTATATTTAATTAGAATTTTTTAAGAATAAAAAGAACAATAAGTTAAAAAAATTTAATTTTAAAACTTATGAAAAGAAAAACCCAAGAATGTGATGTTATCATTTGAAGAAGAACAGAATTAAAAATGACATGTATTATTTTTAAAAAAAAAACATGATAAAAGATTAACGTTGTCTAGAGTTAAAGTACACGAACTTAATAAATTAAAAGTAAATTCACATTTACAAACTCAAAAAAATTCCTGGACCTTTTAATGGATCATTAAATAATCCTAGTCGGTGTTTTATGAGATTTGATCTCGAAAAAAAAAAAAAAAATTACGTGAAAGATTTGGTCAATGCATTAATCTTTTTATCTTAAAGCTGGCATTTGGTCAAATCAATGAAAAATAGACAGAACTGAAACAGAAGTTTCCTTTTTTTCTTGTTATTTGATTTCCGTAAGAAAGAGAAGCAACAAAGGAGAAAAGCCAAAGTATAAGCCTCTAGAATGTAAAGCCATGTGTCTTTGTGTTCTTCTATGTACCTTTTGAAGATTGCAATATTAACTGTTCAGTTTCAACCCTTTTGCTCTTTGTTCATTTTTAATACCTTCTGAAGCTTATTCATGTAATTTTATCAAATTCTTGGTCATTTTGCATGTGCTATTGGTCTGCAAAGTTTCTATGTATTGAACTCTTATCTGGGTTTTCACTGTTACTTCAATTCTTTTTTGTTCTTCTCTCCAACTTGCTATCTGGGGTGCATAAATTTTGAAACTTTTTTTGACTTTTGGATTCTAGATGCATTTGGGTATCATTACTTGGTTGTGCTTTTCTTCTTTCTTGGTGGTAATGGTATCATGGTAATTTGTATATTCTTGCTTGACATTCATTGTTTTCTTGTGATTTGTTGGATTGATTACAGGTTGATGAGAAACAGTAGTACACAAAGAATTGTGGCTAATTTGTTTTGATATTGAATCATTGGGGTGTGTGCAATGAAGTGTTTTTACTACTTCAAAGACAAATCCAGGAGTAGTAAACAAAGATCAGCACCTGAACTGAAAGAGCAAGAGAAACACCAGTTTTCAGGAGGTGAAAGGGTAACCAAGTCTTCATGTTCATCATCTGCCTCACCTCGTGGGATACCAGAAATGTATGAGGAGAAGGCTCATAATTTGAGGGTCTTCTCCTTAACAGAGCTCAAGCGTGCAACAAGTGATTTCAGCAGGCTTCTTAAGCTAGGAGAAGGTGGATTTGGAACTGTGTATAAAGGTTCAATAAAGCCTGTTGATGGGAATGGTTATCCTGTTTTGGTTGCCATCAAAAGGCTTAACAAGGATGCATTGCAGGTATGAGACTCAACAAATTCCTTAGGAATTCATTTGTTTGAGAATGGTACAAATAAACACAATTTTTAAAGCTCAAGAGCATTTAGACAATGTGGTATATTCATCAATCGCACTTGAATTCCCAATATTTTTCCCCCTAATGAATGAATATGAAGAGCATAAACTAAAATTGCTCAGGGAGAGACTTAATCTCAATTGATGCAAAAACTGATACAATACCTTTGCTGTTTAAAAAAAAGAAAGTAAATATCCTTATTCCTTAAGATGAAATCTTAGCCGAATATAGAATAAGATCTAGTTTTGTAGACTAAGTGAGGACCATATAATTATAAAAACCCATGAACTCAATACCTTAAGATTTCGTTTAAGATATAGTGTTAGACCTACTTGTTATGGTGTATTGTTGCTTCGCTCACTAATAGTGGCATTTTCTGCAATGACTTTACTATAAATGGAAAACCTTAGTTTGCTGCAATGATTGTGGTGTTTTCTTGTTTACTGTTAGTGCAAAGTTACACCGATAGATAAAGGGGATCAAAGTAGGAAAACAATTTTTTTGTAATTCATAGCTTTTTTGGCTCTTTGATCATATTGTTATCAGTATTCTGAGCCTTGGCTCTTTGATCAGCCTTATAACCACAGGGGCAGTGTTTTCCTGCAGACAGCTTTTAAGATTAGCCTTAATGATATTGCTGTCTGTTTTACCACATAAAACATTCTACTAAAGGGATGATTGACCATTTTTAATCCTTCCCTTGCTGTAAATTGATATTCCTATTCCTCAATGGGTTAGCAATTTTGTCTTAACCAATAGATAGAGTCATATCAACCTCTTCACTATGTATCCATTTTATCTAAGACCAATAAAAGCTTGGAGATTGGCTAATGGGAGAGGGTAAATATTTCCTATGTTAATCAGTTATCTCAAAAATGATTGATACTACCTCATTACTTTAGTCTATATTGTAGTCAATATTTAGGTGAGTTAAGTTCAAAATGACATTTATAGATGTCCATGCACTATATTTTCTTCCGTCTGTATGCATGCTGAGGATTTCCTCAAGCTATTCAGACACAAAAATCCTCTCTTTCAAGCATGCATGACTAATGTATTTCCCTGATGCATTTGTAGCCATTTTTCCTCTTGGAAAGTTTATTTGATTGAATTGAATGTTTCACATGTAAAAGTCTGTTTTACAGACATCTAGAATACTGTAATGTAACTCCATCATAGTTGGGGTTTTGCATATTCAGGTATAGATTTTTCAGATGTAGCTCTGGTAGTGCTTAATGCTGAAACTATAGACTATTCTTGCTGAAAAGTATTAAGAGATCATATGTATCAAAGGATCTATCTCTTTTGCACTAACGTTTAGTGGTCATGTTTTAATTATGTAGTAGACATGATTTCTATGTTGCTAAATTCACTGTTCTGAAATATCAACTACATTATTTTATTTTATTTTGTTTATGCATGCACATTTTTGTTAGTAATTATTAGCTTAGAGAAGCTATATAGTGTAGCATCAGTTGTTCCTAGAATGACTAATGCTGGAATGTGGAACTTCATTCACATATTATAGACCAACTGGCATGTGATAAGATGAATGATTTAGGTTAATATGAATCAATTTAATTTTTGTATTCATTTCACAGTTGTCATGAAAACTAATTTGTGTATGTCATTTGATGTTAGCCATGATATGAATAACAGGCACTATACCTCTGGGAATCTCTTCTATCAAAAGAAACTGAGGCAATTACTTATACATATAATTTTCTTGCCTACATAAGATGATATTCCTAAATTTAATTTTCTTCATGATAGCTTATACATATTTTTTATGTACATGATAGCTTCGTAATTTCAAGTATTATGTTATAGGAAAACAATATCATTTTCCTACCTCTTTTAATATTACATATTTATGAAACATAAAAGGAATCAAGTAATTAAAAAAAAATAGTGTAAAAATTAGATATATCTTCTATCTGGCTGATGCATGCATGATTATATGTTATCAAAGTCAGTCATCAAATTTATAAGTCTGCAAATGGAGATATTTGTTATAAAGCCTTAGTCAGATATTTTGTGCCTAAGTAATTTGAAGTTTTCAAGCACGCTTAAGATTCTTCATTTATTTGATTTCCAGTTTCCTAGATAGAGATTTACTTCTCCCCTTTTGTTCTTTTTTCTTATGCTTTCTTTTAACACTGAATATGGTAATATTAGGATATTCTTTTGACCCTTTTTCTTTTCCTTCTGTCATGTAGGGTCATAAGCAATGGTTGACTGAAGTTCAGTTTCTTGGTGTTGTGGAGCATCCAAATCTTGTCAAGCTTATTGGATACTGTGCTTTGGATGGTGAAAGAGGGATCCAGAGACTACTTGTGTATGAATACATGCCAAATCAAAGCTTAGAATTTCATCTTTTCAATAAAGCATATGATCCTCTGCCTTGGAAAACAAGACTTGAAATAGCACTTGGAGCAGCTCAAGGGTTATCCTATCTGCATGAAGAATTAGAAATTCAGGTTACAGTTAAAGCAATATTATTATAAATTATCCGAGCTTCCCTCACTTAGAGGAATTAGATATATACAATCATTCATGAGCCTTTATCTAATAGTTTAAGCTTTTGGCCTTAACATGTTATTAGTGCTTCTATGATATGTGGTCGAGAGTACAATCTTTACTACCCCATTTTTCTAGTTAAATTATGATTCTGGCACAAGGTAGTGGGTGCTTTGTATTGTCCACACTTCGAGCCCAACATGATTTCACATGACGGGACATCCTAGAAATCAAAACCATTAGTCTGCGTTCACTAATCAGCTTAAACTTCACAGGGAGTTTCTCCTTAATAGGAGGAATCACATAAACATAAAAAATAAATAAATAAGTTACATCTTCTAAGTTTTGACAGAATACTAGATAGTTGAGCTCCTTAATAACACGGACATAGCTAGCAAAATCTTGGCATATATACTTCTTTTCCATATTAGATTTGATACATGTCTAGAAAATCTCTTGCTGGAAAGGGAATAGGCAACTATTCTGTAATTTGTCCTATAGATTATGTCAATTTATTTGTAGTAAAAAATGTACCACCATTTGAATACTTTAATTTAGATCATTAATTAACTGTGGCAATTTTTTGGGGTTATAATATATGCTCTTGGATTTTGATATTACTAGTGGGAGTTTTGCTTATCACTGAATTGCTTTTCTCAGTGTTAGATAGCTTTTATATCTTCTACTACATGCTCTGCTTAACATTTTGTCCTTTGCTTCTAACATTTTGTATGCTGATGTTGTAGGTGATATATCGAGATTTTAAATCTTCAAATGTATTACTGGATGAGAATTTTAAGCCAAAACTTTCTGATTTCGGACTTGCTAGGGAGGGACCAGTAGCTGGGGATACTCATGTTTCAACTGCTGTAAGTGCTGTGTTCCTGTATTTATTCAATTGCATTTGCACATTGCACTGGTGTATTAATTTGAATGCTGGAGACTATCATGTCGGAATTTTCTGTGGACATAATTTCACTATAAACTTCAATGTTTCCATAATTGTTGTTGGTGATAAAGCTTCCAACATGTACAGCATAAATATTCTTCAGCTCAGACTCTAAACTATATTACACAATCCCTAAATGACTTCCCAAATATAAGCCAAAAATTTAATATTTTATATGCTTTTATTGTTAGACATAATATAAAACTATTAAAGATATAATAATACATTCATGTGCCTTTCCCTACTGCTTAAATTCTTGGGTGAATTGGTTCTTGATATAGTATCAAAGACTCTATAACCAAGTAGGTGGGTTCGTATAGGTCACGCTTTAAGCCCAAAAGACTCTTGCATGAAAGGGTGTGCTCGATATAATATAAATTTGTTAGAGATATAATAAAATCATTCGAGGGTGAGCCTTGAAGCAGCGGTAAGGTTGCTCCTTGTGACGTGTTTGAGTCTGGGAAATAGCCTCACTGCAAAATGTAAGGGTAAGACTATATATAATCTACTCTCACTCCTACCGTCACAAGTCAGCGAGCCTTGTCCATTGAGGTTTTCCTTTTTATATAATAACATTATTCGCGGGCATTTATCTAACAGCTTAAGCTTTTGGGAGAATTGATTCATGGCATTTATACTTGATGATCAAGATGATACTCTGTTTATTATAGAGTCTTTGACATGGTATCAAAGAATCTATAACCAAGTAGGTGGGTTTGTATATGTCATGCTTTAATCCCAAAGGACTCTTACGTGAAAGGGTGTGCTCGATATAATATAAATTTGTTAGAGATATAATAAAATCATTTGAAGGTGAGCCTTGAAGCAACAGTAAGGTTGCTCCTTGTGACTGGTTTGAGTCTGGGAAATAGCCTTTTTGTAAAATGCAAGGGTAAGACTGTGTTTAATCAACTCTCTCCCCTACCCTCATAGGTCGGGAAGTCTTGTGTATCCGGGTTTGCCCTTTTATATAATAAAACCATTCATGGGTGTTTACCCAACAGCCTAAGCTTTTTGAAGAATTGATTCATGACATATATATTTGATGATCAAGATTATACAGTGTTTATGTAAACTTTTTTTTATGTCAGGTGATGGGGACAAATGGTTATGCTGCTCCAGATTACATTGAGACAGGGCATCTAACAGCCAAGAGTGATGTGTGGAGTTTTGGTGTGGTACTATATGAAATGCTTACTGGCAGGCGTTCATTGGAAAGAAACAGACCAAAAATGGAGCAGAAACTTGTAGAATGGGTGAAGCAATATCCTCCTGATAACAAAAGGTTTTGCTTGATAATGGATCCAAGACTTGAAGGACAATATCCCATTAATGGAGCAAGAAAACTAGCCAAGCTTGCGGATCATTGCCTGCGTAAGAGTGCAAAAGATAGGCCAACAATGAGTCAGGTGGTAGAGAGATTAAAGCAGATTATAATGCAAGCTTCTGATGAAGAATACCCTGCAGAAAAAAGTCTTGAGGTATCTGAGAATGATCCACTTGAGCCTGAAGAAAAGCCTAATCAATCTTCCTCTTCAGAATTATGGAAAAAGAGGATGGAACATCTTGCAAAACTTGGTGAGCATGTGGAGAGTGCAAGTAGAAGAAGATTTATGATCCTACAAAGAACCAATGTGCCGACATAGTTTCATCTGGGCAATGATGTGATATACACAAATCAGGAAAATTTATGTAATAGATGTATAGAATAGTGAACATCACTACATAGCCAATGATCTTCTTTTTGTTGAGTGGCCATATATTTTGTTTCATATCAATGGGATCTATATATATAAGTAGCTCCATAGGTTGGCCTTTGTATTTTTAATATTGTAAGTGATTTTATGGTACATAGTTTGTGACTTTTCTTTTCTAATCTTTTTAAATATTTGATCTATCGTATCAGCTTCTTCCAAATCATGATCATTCGGAATGTTTCTTAAGTCAGAATAGATTTTATAACTACATGGTCATGGATTTTTGTTATCACACTGTTAAGGGTTCAAGTCTTGATATATTGACATTTGACACTACGTGTTAATTTTTTATAGAATCAGTTTGATTAATCCCAAGTAGAGCGGCAATTCAAATCGATATGATACCACACAAATTTAACATAGAATATCAATATATTCAACATGAATACTACACATTTAAAATAGGTCAAAATTTTCGACACGAAGAGAATCTCTTTGTTTTGAGGTTAACACAACACGACAAGAATAACTAGTCATTCTCAAAGTATGTCATTTATTACATATATTGACACGACATGATACGAATAACATACAATTTCAAAGTGTGTTGCTTATTATGCGAGTTGACACGACGCGATAAAACACAAAAGAACTTGTATATTGAATGTTTTCACCAATGTTGTGTTGACTACATGAATAATTTGTAAGAAAATTAACACAGATTAATTTTGTATTTACGGGTTATATATATAACACGACAAGAATTTTTTCGTGTCAATATGAACATAACACAAATTAAAAACGGATCAACGCAAACACGAATTTCTTATGTGGTGTCTGTGATCGTATTGAAAATTGCCATCCCTAAATCAAACCAGTGAGTGATATACAAATAATTATCTTGTCAATTTAACATTATAAATTTTAGAAAGTTCAACCAATAAGTTTGTACATAATTTCTTTCTATTTAGGGAGTAAATTATTAATTTGGGATAGAATATTATGTTTATTTATTTTTATATCCACCCTACCTACTCATTTTCAGAATCACAATTTCAAGATGAGAAAAAAAGAATAAAAGTCAGTTGAGATTATGATCTCATAATGTTGGCGAAGAACGAGTATAATAATAAAAAGAGATAAATATAATATCATATTCCTATTAATTTTTAGATGAGAAAAAGCTAGACGAAAGTGAAATTTTATGTGCGAGATACAAATTTTCATCAAAGTCATTTTTGAGATAAATTGGTAACTTCCTCCTATAAAATATTATTCATTAATGAAAATTTGAAATTTTTCGCTTTTTAGTTTTTTAGACACCGGTCAGGGTCATCTCTCGATCATATGATTAAAGGGATTTACTAATCTTATGTTACATAAGATAGTACTCTCATGTGGATGATATAAATATGTGGAGTTCACAATTTAAAAAGAAAATAAAAAAAAAGAAAAAATTAGCACAAAATTCTATAAGTATATGCCATGATATAGGTATCTTATGCACTATCATTTCCCATAATTAAAACCAATAACTTTAAATTGTATGACGTTGTTCTCTACTTTTCTTTCCCATAATATAAGTATTCGTTGTTGAAAACCTTACACGCTAAACCTCAATGACTAGTATTTATTTAGGTAAGCAGATTTATCTAACTCAAATTAATAATTAATATGTTCGAAGATATTTAATGAAATTAAATGTAGCACATTTAGGCTTTTTGACCAATTGGGTATTTTTGATTGGGCATTCTTTGATTTGCGAGTCAGGAATAGTGATAATATAACTGAAAAATCATAATTTTGAATTCAAAAGTAAAAGTAAAAGAAAATTGTTTTTCTTATATAATATAAGATAAAACTTCTGTCCTATACTCACATATAAAGAGATGAGACTCATTTATATTTTTTTTCTCTCCTCTCTTCTTTATATGTGTCTCTAAAAGATAAGTTTTATCCTATGTCACATGAGAAAACAATTTTCAAAAGTAAAAATGCATATAAAGGTTGGCCTCCCTCATATCTTCTAGTTGGAATTTAATTGGGAGAGATTTTCGTGCAAAATTATTTTGAGAATCCAGTTGGTGGGTAACGTAGCCAACACCTTTTCATGAAAACTTATAATACCAGCCTGTATATCACAATTATTTTTTAGTTATAATACTCCTATTATTATATTTATTATATACGAAATGTAAATTTTATATATTACTCTACAACAACTTTAATACATGTATGTCATTTGTCATAAATATACATGTATGACTTTTCCTTAAATACTGTGAGTCATTCTCATAGAGGTGACAAATCATAATCAAAGTTTGCTTCCAATGGCAGCCACTCATACGAGTTCTACGTGAGACGAAAAAAGAAAAGTCTAAAAAATAACTACAATCATTCACATTTGCTCTTTAATTTATTCTCTATATGTTTATGTTTACTTTATAATTCTAACTACAAGCATCATTTGCGTTGTACCTCTATTTTTATATTTAAATAGAATATAAAAAATAAATTAAAAAACAAAATACTTAAGAAAATATATGTAGAATTATAAAAGAAAATATTTATAATTAATCTGAAATAATTTATATTTAAAATTTAAAACTAAGTTAGGAATAAATATATCATTTTTTAAGGGAAAATAAATTAAAAGGTTTAATAAGCACTTGATAAATTCTAATTCAATATATTAGAGTAATATTTTTTATTATCAAATCACTCTATTTTTCTCTAATTCTGATCAGCCTTTATGTCTCATCCAATTATAGATTTAATTCAAATCCACAGACTTATAATTAATAAGTTATTATGATTTAGTGATTGTTATTACAAGTTTTCATGAAAATACTTGACTTACCAAATCAGAAAAATTCCCAATCAAAAAACCCAATTGGTGGATTTTCTTGCACTTTGTGCTTTTGGTCTTGGACTTTAAGTTTGATAAATTGGTTCACTGAACCCAATTTTAATTTGTTACTATGTTACAATTATATGTGTGTAAATATGACATCTTAGGTTAGTATCTACGCAAGAAGTTCTCAATATAGAGATTTGATTGACAAGGAGATTTTTGTCTAGTGATTTATGGATGCTTTATTGAAAGGAAAATAAAGATTTTCCATGGACACATGATAGTGGAAGAATGTAACAAAGTTTCACACATCTAGATCTTAAATTAAGTATCTTTGATACTTTGTTTTCAGTTGCCTCAAATTTCTTGAAAATTAAAGGGCATCTCAATATCTACATGCCTTCTTAAATAAACTCAAAATAAAAGAAATAAAAGGGTAAACCAAGTTACCAAGAACAGAAACAAAAAAGAGCCCAAATTCTTTGTTGGATTTTTCTCTATGATCACTGGAAACCCAACTACTACTTTACAAAAGTAGCAAAAGATTCATCCTGGTTTATCAGAATCTTAATGAATATTTGCTCTTCTTTGTTGGGAATTTTCCATTTCCTCATTTTTTCTTCTTCAAAAATTGGATTCTTTCACCAATCTCATATCATGGATTATTTTAATTAGGCCACTGCAACTGTGCCTGTTCTTACAGTCTTATTAGGTGTAGAATTTTGGTTTGTCTCTGATTGTCTTACACCCCTTTTGGATGAAAGCTTCCAATTTTTCTCCTTTGCTTCATCAATCTCTATCTGCTCCTGCCTACACTCTTTGCTACAGAATGGTGTGTTCCCTCTGCAAAAAATTAATAATTCCAAAAAATACTCATCACAAATATGAACAACAAAATAAATTCTCAATTCATCTAAATAAATCTTCAACATCATCATCAAGTTTAATCCAGAGAAAAATTCAACAATATTCCCTTGCTTTTCCACTCCCAGAAACAACTAATCAAAGAATTATTGTATGTATTTTATTCTAGATCTGTATAATTCAATCAAACTTATAGCTGAAAACTAAAGTCTGCAAACTTTAGAAGAAAAAAACGAAACTTTTCCTTAAACCCCACATGACAATTCATAGTAAAGATCAAAACTTTTTACAAACTTAACCAAATCAACTAAAATCAGTATCTGGGTATTATAGACAGATAAAAGAAAGTAAAAGTTTGAATTGAAAACTGAGCTAACCTGTACATAAAGATGTCACTGTTTTGGCCAAGAGGTTTTCTGCAAAGAAAACAAGCTTGGAGGAAGTGAGGCTCCTCATAGTGATCTTCACTTCCAGCATAATAAAACATGCTAGATCTTGGAGAAGAAAATGAAGATGGTGATGATGAAGAAGAGGAAGCATGTGTAGCCATAAGTGAGTTGAAAGGAGAAGTGGGAAAATGTAGGGGAGTGGAACCAAAGAAAAATGGCAATTATATAGTGAGAGGTTCAAAGGATTTGGATGTTATATGATAATGCACATACCATAGTATACTCAGTGCTCCTCCCCAATCATGAGCTTTTGATATTATGATTATTTTTATGGATTTGATGTTTGTCATTTTAAATGATATAAGTTATGTTATTTTAAAAAAAATAAACACAAGAAATAAAAATTATGAGAGAGAGTGGATGGTTTATTTAAATTTAAATTTTAAATAAAAATATATTATTTTATGTCTATATCTCTCTTAAAATAATATAATTTTATATCATTTAAAATGACAAACACTTTTCCTATATTTTATTTCACCCTTTTAGTTTTAGGCCTATTTACAAAAACTTTCAGAAAATTTCTTTGAAGTTGCAAAATTTGAAAAATAGGTAAATTTCTAAGTTAATATGGTTTTCAGATTTATTATTTTTAAACTAATTATTGCTTTAATCAAGTTATTATGAAGATCACTAAATGTGTTTTAGTAAAAATCTTATACTAAACTTTTGATTATAGTTTTTTTTAAATATAAAATAAACCGATGCAAAAATAAAAGAAGATTAGAAAATATAATAATAAAATAATTTGGACTTTATTTCACATTCTACCATCCAAATTCATAAAACAACGTATAATTTATGTAATTTAAAAAAAAAATTATATATCTATAATTATTTTAAATTTGGTCTTTATCTTTGTTATTGTTATAAAAATGTTTGTTAGAGTTGCAAATGTTATTAAAACTGGCCCGGTTATTGACTCGGTCGATGTACTGGGTCAGTGGGTCACTGGTTCAACTGCATGACCCGGTAATTATATGCAAGTTTATAATTTATATTAGAAAATTATAAATATTTCCAAATATCTAAAAAAATAATAAAATTTCAAATATTTTAATATAAAAAATAATAAATCACATACTATTATTCAATAAAGGATCAAATAAAAATATAATGATCGTGGTACGGGATTTTAAATTCAGAAAATGACATCTCTAACTATAAATCAAATCAAAATTTTCTGCATAATGCACAATTGAGATAATATTAGTGTTGTAGATACATAACTTATGTAAGTCAATAAGAAAAAAATATTCAAATATGTCCATTATGATTTTTTTTTGAAAAAAAAAATTTGGAATTTTTTTTTTAGGACCGGGCCGGGTCACCGGTTTTCATGAAAACCGACCGGGTCGCACCGGTTCAGATGCATGGCCGGTTATATGATCGGTTTACTGGTTCCCGGGTCGGTCTGATTTTAATAACTATAACACATGAAAATATATCGATTACAATGAAAATAAATGTCAAATAAGTAACATTATACTAGTTTTGGCGACACAGGAGAGAAACGAAATTGAGAACAATTATAGGTAAGGACCAAATAAAAAAAAAGTCTTATAAAGACTAAATAAAATATAAGAATTAGATATATTGACCGGAAATATATTTTAATTTAATGAAAGAAATCATACAAACATATACTTCATACATTAAAAGAAGCCTTGTCCGCGAATGTATTAAACGTATTGCTTAAGAAAAATCTCAAAATATTTATCAAATACTTCGAATTTTTTTATAGAAGAAAATAATTGATTCCTTATATAATACACTAAAAATCATAGCAAATATATTTCATTACAGAATATATTTTGTTTTGTAACGTAGTAATTAATTGTCAGAAAACAAAAATTTGATAAACTCAATCAAATGAACCATGTGATGGGTTAGATTAAGAACTTGATTGGTAGGGACCATGGAAGTTCGTGCGGGTCATGGTGCACCAGAATAGCCCCCAGTTGAATGATAATGGTCCATATATTAAAATTTAAAAAATAAAAGCCAATGACTGTTTTTGGAGGTCATGGGGTTGAAACTTGAAGCCATTGGGACCAGTTCATGCATTATGTACTTTTTCCCAAAAGACATTTCCTCTTTATTGAGCCTTTTCAATTTTGGGTCCTTTCTTTATTAAGAATTTGTACCTACACCCCTAAAATTTGTTGCTTTTTACTCTGTAATTTAACCATGTCTCAACACTAATGGAATAGGAATAAAAAGAAGAAGAAAATAAATAAATCATGTCTCTACTAGATTCTCTTCACTTGGACTATTCCTTGGTGGAATGAATAGAACGTGGCACTTAGGAAATGATGAAATGTTAAGTAATTAAAGGCACAAAGAGGAAGATCAATATTAAGATTTGGTTTGTCTTGGCAAATGTCTCAAAACCTTATGTTAAAGGGTGACATGAGGGGAAAAAAAATATGAAATTAGAATCTTTCTTTTGCTTGGTTTGTTCCTAAGACACAACTTGCATGTGAGGTCTATACTTTAGATATGACACATGGTTCTTTAAGAGGCTTATTCAGAGGGCATTTTGACATATGCTTAGACTTTTTTTTTTTTAATTTGTGATCTCAATGGAATATATTTAAATGTGTTATATTTTAATTGATTTTTTTATTACATTAGTTACATATTTAGAGAGTAACATACATTTTAGGATTTTATGAGTATAATGTTGTAGGATATAAGAAAAGTTTCATACTCTCACAATAAAGAAGAGAGAAAAAGTGAAATGATGAAAGAGAAAAAAAATATGTGGACCCCACCTCTTAATTGTGTGTGTAGGAAAGTTTTATTAGGTTATGTAACATGATACTAATAAAACCCTACATTTTATAGCCTAAAATCAGACCATATTATGCAAGTAAATGAAATTCAATAAAGCTTGAGTACTTTAGGGAATTTGCAAAACATATTTCTTCCCAAAAAGTTCAGAAATCCAAGTAAATGAAAGGGCAGAAAATAAATGTCTCTACTCCTATCACATCAAACTCAAACAAACTCATTATATATATGCAGTGTACTGCCCCAGCTACCCCTTTTGGCCGTTGCTTTGCCCAACTCATCACTCCATACAATTCTAGAAGATTTTTTTTTTTTTTTGATACATTAGAAGAATTTAAAAAATAAGAGAACTTTGATAGTGAGATAATTGAATTTCTCAAAAAATATAAACCAGACTTAATTATTTGTGATATTAAATATTTTTACAATATAATTAGAATATAAGGTACTACTAACATAAATCAAATATAAAAAACTTACTATGAGATTTTTAAATAATCCAAGTCTTATATTATAAACAATAAATTAAATTTAAAATAATGTATTTACAATTTCCCTTTTTTTAACTATAATTTTTTAAGTTATGCTAATTAAATGAGCATGTGATTAAATAGTTCTTTTTTTGTTACTATGGTATATCCATCAATTTGAATGAGATTAATTCCTTTCATAATATAGGGGGTAATAAATTTTGTCACTGACCTCAAATTGCTTCTCCGAAAAATCAAATCATAAATCTTTCAACCCTAATAATTTATTTTTTGGACACAACCTACTTATCAATTGAGTCATCCTCAAGATTGATTAAATAATCTTTAATTGCTAAGAGTATTAATACCCTACTAAAAAAAATGATACTGAAGAATCTCTTGATTAAATATTAACATAGATATATTTTAATTATCATTTTCTTAATTATTTTTTCTTGTATTCAAATAAATATACCTCCCAAAAGTAATTAAAAATTGACAAGGGAAAAAAATGTCATCAATGCCTCACATTAATGAATAACCAACCACTGCAATTATTTTTTAAGGACTTGATTTTATCATTTAAAATGTGATAAAAAAAATTCTCATTATAGATCAAAATCGTTTTTATTGAGTTATTTAAAGAACCAAAAAAAAAATTAAATGTTAGTTTGAGTTTCTAAACCCTATTTAAAAAGAAGAGGATAATTTCTCCTCAAAATAATTTTAATTGCAAGTAATAATATAATAATTTTAATTTTGGGTTAGCTTTTTTTGGAGTTACTGTATATAAATTATCTGCAGTAAGCCCAATACGACGTCGTTTTTGGACAGAAATCATGGTATTTTTGTAATTTTAATTTATTTCAGGGTTATAATAGTTTTTATATTTATAATTTTTTAAGATTTCAATACCAAAACTACGTCGTTTTGAACATAAATGCAGATAACTTATTTGTATTAACTGCAGAAATATTTTTCTCTTTAATTTTTAATCCTTTTATTTATTTTAAAAAAACTTAAATTATTTTTTTATTTTTAAAATTGAAAGAAATTGAGAGAGAGAGAGAAGTTTTCTTTCATCAGTAAAATGCTGAAAAATGCAAAGTTGGAGCTGACGGGGCAGGGGACCCACAATGAATGAGAAGCCGACAATGACCATCAATAGTGGGACCCACTTGACGCATGGTCTTGCTGGCGATACTATTCAGCTGTCCTTGTCCCACGCGCCCACAACAACTGCCCGTGCATCGCGGTCAGCCACTTCTTCTGCCCCCTACACGTGCGGGGTCTCTTGCACGTGCAACGTGCCTCTTAAGTATAAGAGATGCTATGATGTGGACAAATTTTATTCAAAACTTATGGACTTACCAAATTAATTTTTTCTAAAGTTCTTTTATTAAGATAACAATATGTTGTGACATTGGTTATAGTAAGTTTTCTTCTTTGATAAATTTTTGTTTTTTGGTAATCTCTTTGATAAATTAAATAATATATAATTTTACTATAAATCCTCGACGAACTTGGTAATTTTTCTAGCCACACAAAAAAGTATGCATTTTCCTAATATAAACTTTAATTGTTAAAAAATTATAATTATAAGAATTTACTTTGTTGATTGTGTGAAAAAAATTGGCATGATTTTATAAAATTCTGAAATTTATGATAAATTTTACAAAATATATAATTTTTGTAAAATCAAAATTATATTTTTATAAAAATTATAAATTAATTAATAAAAGTTACAAACTCATAAAAGTCATAAATATTTAATTTTCAGTTTTTAAATTTTATTATTTAATTTTAAATTTTATTAAAATAATATGATATTATTTTTTAATAAAAGGAAAATGATCCTTAAAAATTAAAATTA